ACCCCTTCCGATACCAGAGGATATCTTTGCCAAGCTAAATGGTGGGAAGTGTTTCGCCAAGCTCGACTTGTCCGATGCCTACCTCCAGGTCGAGGTTGATGAAAGCTCGAGAGAATTGCTGACCATCAACACTCATCGTGGCTTGTACCAGTACAACCGCCTCCCTTTTGGAGTGAAAACAACACTAGCCATCTTCCAGCAGCTGATAGACACCATGCTCGTGGGAGTTTCTGGAGCCGCGGTGTACCTGGATGATATCATTTTAATGGGTCGGACGGGAGAAGAACTATTTCAGCGGCTCGCTGAAGTGCTTGTACGTATCCAGTCATATGGTTTCCGTATCCGTGAAGACAAGTTTACCTTTTTTACACCAACCATCAAGTTTCTCGGCTTCATTTTCTCAAAAGACGGTCGTCACCCTTATCCAGGAAATACCCGAGCTATTCAAGAGATGCGCCCTACCTGCGGACTTGCAATCGCTACGTTCATTCTGTGACCCAGTCCTTCAGTACAGCGCTTTTCTGCCCGCACTGCATCGCCTGCGTGCCCCGCTGAATAAGTTGCTGAGCAAGGGCCAAACCTGGAATTGGACGCCAGAATACCAGACTACGTTCTAGCGGATCAAGTCATTGCTGGCTTCAGACCTACTCCTAACTCACTTTGATCCCTCCCGGGAAATTGTCCTTGCCACAGACGCATCGAGTCTAGGGATCGGTGCCGTAGTTTCCCATACGTTCCCAGATGGATCTCAGAAGGCGATCGCACATGCCGCCAGGACGCTGACGAAAGCCGAAAGAAACTACAGTCAGATCGAGAAGGAGGCATTGGCCATAGTGTTTGCTGTGAAGAAATTTCACAAGATGCTGTATGGTCACCGCTTCAAACTCTTGACGGATCACAAGCCGCTGCTGACCATTTTCGGCTCGAAGAAGGGAATTCCTGCCTATACAGCCAGTCGGCTTCAAGGATGGACACATACCTTGCTGGGCTATGATTTTGAAATCCGTTATCAGTCAACGGATTCGATGGGCCAGGCAGATGCGTTGTCACGCCTCATTGATTCCCAGCAGCAAGAACACGAGGACATCATCACTGCCTCAGTTGAGATCGAACCTGATGTCAAATTCCTGGTGAGCGAGGCACTACATGGTCTGCCAGTTACGGCCGAAACTGTGCGGGCCGAAACGCTTCGAGACCCAGTCCTGAAGAAGGTGACACACTTCCACAGAACCAGCTGGCCACGTTCGTGTTCATCTGCCGAAATGCAGCAATTTTATCAGCGAAGACATTCGCTCTCCATTGTGAACGATTGTGTCATGTTCTTAGAGATAGTCAACCCGCAAACGTTTCAAGAAAGAGTGCTGCGGCAGTTCCATGCAGGACATTCAGAGCTCAAGCGAATGAAAGCGCTTGCCCGAAGTTATGTGTATTGGCCGTTTATGGACAGACAGCTGGAGCAGCTATCTAGAAGCTGTGGCAACTGCGCTACCGCTTCAAGGGCACCGCCGAAGACTGAACTACACTCGTGGCCTAAACCAACTAGACTTTGGAGCCGTGTTCATGTCGAGTTTGCAGGCCCAATCAATGGCCAGAACTTTATCATAGTGGTCGACGCTTACAGCGAGTGGCCCGAAGTGTCTCTCATGAGAAGCACGAAAACCAGTGCGACAGTCTCGAGGTTGCGACAAATCTTCAGCAGGTTCGGCTGCCCTGGAACATTCGTGACGGACAATGGAGTACAGTTTACTTTGGCTACATTCACGGAGTTCTGCCAATGTTGCGCCACCAAACACGTGAGGTCTCCACCATTCCACCCACAATTGAATGACCAAGCGGAGAGGTTTGTGGATACATTCAAACGCGCTCTCCGCAAACCAAGGAGGGAGGGAGACATAGAGGAGGTGATCGACCGCTTTCCCTTTCTGTGCCGATCTACACAAAATTCACAAAGGTCGGGTGGAATATCACCAGCAGAGGCAATGATAAAGAGCAAATTTCGCATGCCACTTGATGCAGTTGGGCCGTCCTCCGAGTCCACAGCTGGTGAAAGGAACCTCAAGAAAGAATGTGAGTTTAAACGGCGGTAATAATAAGGTGTCAGCTGTGCGCCGTAACGGCGCTTTGCTGCCGCGCAACCACCACCAGTCGCGCGCGGGCTGAGTATACCGCGAGGACGCTCAACACTACGCGGATTCGAGCAGGTGGCCGATTGGTCTGCACGTTTGTCTTGCAACCATAAGGTCACCGGTTCGAATCCACGTAGGGGTGGGCGTCCTCGCGGTATACTCAGCCCGAGCGCGACTGGTGGTGGTCGCGCGGCAGCGAAGCGCCGTTACGGCGTACCGCTGACACATTATTTATTATTTACTATTAATCGGCGATATGGTGCTAAGCAAGGTTCCTTCAGCCAGTACTCGTACGTGAGTATCGGGATGGACATGTAAAATGGAAGTCAGGCACGATCTAGGGCAAGCGCGGGAACGTCATTTACAACATGCTAGTTGAAACGCAGGTATAGATAAGCCATGCAAACCAACTGCGACCAACAATGTGTCAGCCATAAGCAACAGAATCCGCCGAGTTTCTATTTGACCTGTTGACAGACAGCTCCAGCTTGCCTAAAGAGCCCGTAGAAGAATCCTGTCATCAGACGAGTGATATCAGACCGCAGAGCACAGAATTCCAATCCAGAACACTACAGCCAAAGCGATGGACCGATAGGCGTAGAACCCCTTCCAGAAGGCTTCAGGTCAATCCAGGGCTAGCATCATACACCGCGACAGCTGTTACAGGAGGGGAGGTATCCGTGAAAAGGTAAAAACATAAAGGAAAACCATTATTTTAGCAAATAATCGATTATCTTCGATCGTGCGTTGATTTCGAAGATTCCGGAAGCTCCATTCCCTCACGTGATCGCCAGCATACGGAGTTTTGGCAGGGAGGCTACCAATTTTACCAGTTAACTTTCGTTTTCGAGAAGCCGAAGGTCATTGAGCCCCATATATATTTTGCGTAGGTCTGGCGTAGTGGTACAGCGTTTTGGCGACATTTTTGGCCACATTGGCTTTTGTTAACACATTTTTCGTGGTCAAGGTCGTTGGACTTTTGATGTGTTCTTCGGCTGGGCTATAATTTTTGCGGAGAAATGTTTGGGTGTTTAATTCGGAATAGCGAGAAAAAAGTGAAGATCTTACAGGTACATTAATCAATACACATGCGGATCGAACACCGAGAATAAATCCGTGGACCAAGTATGTGTTCCTGGACGCTTTAAAGGCAAATGTAAGATAGAGACTGATCGCATCAGCCCAGGACAGTTAAGCGTAGAATCAGCGATCACATTTTTAAAATGCAACGTCATGAAAATAAGCCAAAATGCAACGCGACCAAAAGCGCCAAACGATCATTCGACGCTCACTACGTCGTGTTTGTTGACATCCAAAATGCTTCCGATTCGGTTGATCGATGTGCCCTTTGCGACTGTCAGCTCAGGAAAATGGTGCCCGAGAAACACATAAACATTATCCGAGCACTGTACGCGCATAGTTCGGATAGAGTGAGGACTTATGGCACTGTCGCTGCCATCTAAAATTTTTAACGGTATTATACAAAGTTGCCTGCTGTTACCTTTCCTATTTAAATTCGCTATGGATGAAGTCATGGAGATCGCTTTCACAGGACACGACTTAAAAGGTGTGGAACAATTCCCAGGTGACCAACTTCTTGACTTGGAGTACACCGATGACATTTCCCTAACCTGTGACAGCTCCCAAACGTGTCAAGCAGAACTAGATACATTAGCTCTGGCTGTCAGTTGTTCCGGGCTATGCTTTGCACCCTTGAGATGCAAAGTCCCCTTCCGAGATTGGCATGGGCCTACCTCTGCGCTGACCCTCAGTGGTAATAGCCTAAAAGTTGTCTAGCGATTCAAGTACGTTGCCCGCTGTATTAGCGCCGGTGGAATTGATGAGATCCCCAGACGTATAGCCAAAGCTTGAGACAGTTTTGCCAATCTCTGCGAACTGTGGCGTCAGCGCGACATCACTCTCTCTCTCTCTCTCTCTCTCTCTCTCTCCAAAGAGCGGAGTTCACAGTGCAGCTGTGCGTTCAACCCCACGATACGGTTGCGTAAACTCGTCTGTCGGACTGACAGCTCTAAAGTGGTTTGTTACATTCGAGCGTCGCTGGGTTTGCAGTTTCTCATGTCTTGTGAGAGCACCATGCGAGGAATGGGTGTGGTTGGCGTCTCGTAATTGGATCAAGAAGAGCTCAGCTACTTTATATCGCGCACCAGACTCCGGTGGCTAGGCCAGGTGTTGTGCATGCCAGCAGAAAGACTCCCGCGACGTGTGCCGTTTGCGCGAACGGGGTCTGGATGGAAGAAGAGGAGCAGAGGCGGAACGACGACTTTGTAAAAAGGAATGCAGTCTCTTACTTCGAACTTGGCCTCAGTTGGTGTCTACAGACTGCCAGGCAAGGGTCCCAAGGTTGATGAACACGTTTGGTTGGATACACTAGTTGACATGGTGAAGATTCGACCTCTGTGGCGTTCGTGTTGTTTCTTTGTGCGTTCCCTTTCCGCTCAGCTTCCCCCCCCCCACAGCGACCTCATACTGCATGGATAATAGTACACAGCGTTATGTTACGCGCTTCTTTAGTTTTTGTATTCTGTACTGCTTGGAATCTCCCGTTTCGTATATCTTTGTATATTGGAAGAGTTAGCGGGTTATTCACACCTTTAGCTATTGTGTAATAACGATGATGAACTGAGAAGAATCCCATCCACTACGGTGCAAGCGCACAACGGGTGCCTAAAACGACTAGTGAGCTGGTCACCAGAAGTAGTCTACATTACCAAACGATTCCACGCTGAGCTAGCTACAGATGGCCAGGGTAGGGATTCAAGAGACTTCACCAAAAATCGAAAAAGATAAGCGGGTGAGAAGGAAAAGAAAAGTTTTGTAACCTGTAGCGAGAATGGATGCAGTAAGCGGACATACCTCTAGCACCGACTGACAAAATTCCAAAGCGTTGAGAAATTCAGCAAACTTCGTGGAACTTTTTTCCTGTTCGTCTAGGGCGTTCATGAAAGCTGGCCAAGATTCAGGAAGGTTATTTTCAACCAAACGACGTGGTAGTTCTGCGTAAAGAGTAGCTAAGCCGGTGGCTAAAACCTGAGGAAAAGTGTGGTAGGCAATGTAGATTATATATGAAAGTGATACAGATGACAAGCACCAGCATTCTAGTTAGCACTGCAATTGGGCAACTAGTAGAACGCTAAAGAGAAACGAGAACTGCAAACACATTAGGTAAACAGATAGCAATGCGTAAACACTGCGAGCAGTTGAGGCTGTGTTTGAGTGTGCGAATTTCAGTAGGAAACACATCTGGAAGGGCCGTTTAACAAAATTAACATTTAACAGAAAATGGATTGTGCTGTTTCTACCTGATACATGAAAACGTTCTCAGTAGCACAAACATTTCAAAAACAATGGAAGTTTGCCCCAGTGCTTTGCTTAACATAGCAGTCAGCCAAAAACGAACCGGCGGACCACAACACCCAACCGGTAGAGTAGCGACCTTCATATGCGATCAAAAATGAAGAGTAAAGAAAATCCCTATGGCACTCTATAAAGAAAGAGTTGATGAAGTTGCACGCGCGAATACACCAGATTCGTACGAGTAGCTCACTCTGTTTCATCCAACCGGCAGTCTCCAAGTATAGGATCGCGTCCATTTAGAATAGACAGTACAACTAAACCTGAAACTGGTCGTGAAATGCAGTGTGTTCCGAGTGGGCAACACATCCGACATATATGCCGGCAATTGCCATGTCTAATCCTCATGTTGCGCCCAATCGATTAAGAGTATGTGTCCGAACTCACACAACAACACTAGCATGCAGTTACAAAGGTAAACAAGCGACACTGGGAAACATGCGTAAGTATACACCAGACGAAATTTGTAAGTGGACACAACTTAAGTGCACCGTTTAATTCAGCCCTTACTTAGTGGCGTTGAATTGGGTGACAGTACACTGCTATAATCGCTGTGGTGTGGTACTGGAATCAATTAATTTTCCGATCAGACTACGGTGAATGCTCCCTGGATCTCCGATTGGAGAGTGAAAGGTCGGACTCGTTATCTCGCAATCGTCATTACACAATCACACGTTAACTGAGGGCAAAAAATACACCTCAGGAAACGTGTCGCAATACAAAAAGAAGAGATAAGAAAGCGAGATAGGGAACGTCGATAAATACAAGATAAAAACCAAAACGTATTTCCTTGCAGACGTTTCATCACCCATCGAGGTGACTTCGTCAGTGCGTAGTCCGCAAACTGATTGGGTTGTCGACCCTTAACCGACGAGAGAGTGATGTTTGAACTAGGCCACTTCGTTTCACGTCCCATGACCGTTGCGAGTTCGCAGTTCGATTGCCGCTTTTAGACACATGGTAAATGACCCGCCTTAAATTCCTTTATTTCGCAATTGATGGTGGATCGGGACTAAGTCAATGCGCAGGTTCATTGAGTTCTCCGTAGAGAAGCATGCTTCGAGAAATTCTCTTCCTTTTCTTGTCTCACTCTGCGCTGGGACCTTCGTTTTCTTTATCGACGTGTGTCGAGACCAATGATGATGAGTAATGGTTTCGACAGAGTCAACTTTGTTCTTGTAACCTTGTAGGCAACATACTTCCTCTTAAGTCCACATAGTGTTTACACTGTATCCTGTAAACAAGGTTCCGATGCTCATATGCTCGTGTTTCCTCTTTCAGGCTAGATAGGGTCTCTTTCAGAATAGCGGTTGTGTGAACTAAAAACAGGTGGTGAAGATTGAGTCGAGCAGTCATTTCCGATACGTTTTTTATGTACGGCAAAGCGATGCGTTTCGTTGTTGTTGGCTCAGATGTGGCATTTTTAGCCTTACAGTTTATGCATATTCGGATGAAATTGTGTGGAGATCCATTGCGCATGAAGGTTGCAAACACATGGTTTTCTTCTTCGCGTTTTGCTTCCTCAGTATTACAATAGGTTCCTATCCTGCGAACCAAGGTCCGTATGCGGCTGATTTTGAGATATTTTGGATTGTTGCTGTTGCTAGTTGAGATTCGATGTGTGTGCGTGTCTTTCCTGCAAAGTGATGTACGTAGTTCCACGTTCGCTGTTCTAGTTACCAGTACGTCCAAGAAAGGTGGTTTGTTTTCTATGATAAAGTGAGTGCTGTCCATTTCATAGTTCAGCAAGCGTTGCGCGGTCTGCAACTGGCTGCGTTTGAAGATCACGTATGTGTCGTCAACATAATTGACCCATAATTACGGTCTCAAGACTGGGAGTAGATTTTCCTTTAACATTTGCAGGACAATTTCTGCAAGGAGTCCAAATATAAAGAACCCCATTGCGGCTGCTTTTGAACGTTCATAGAATGCTCCATTGAAGTTAAAGTACGTTGTGAGATACAGACCGAGAAGCTCGTATATGCTATCGGTCGTCAGATTCCCAATTATTCCTCCGACAACATCTAGGCGGTCTCTGATATTTATTTGCGACACTTGTAATTTGACATTAGTGAACGGTGCAGCAACGTCGAAAGACACCAGTTTATCTTCATTATCCGTCCGCAGTCCTCTGAGTTTTTCCAAAAATTGCTGAGCGTTGTTTGTGAAACACCGCGATCCACCAGTCAGGTGTTTGGAGTGCCTCCATTTTTCTTAAACCTAGTTGTAGATGAGCGTACCAAGGAAGGACAAGATTGCCTGCAGTGGTACACTAGCTTTCTGCACCCTCCGAGATCCGTAGAATCAGGCGATGTTTGAATAACGAATCTACATTTTGTCTTTAGTGACTTGTTTCGAATCCTGAAGTCTTCCTTTTTAGGATCAGATATTTTATTTGTTAATTGTACTGCTGAATGATTTTCCAAGCAACGGTAAATCGTACCGTCGGCCACGATGTTCCTTCATTTCAACGTATTCTGTTTTATCCATTATAACAGTCATACGCCCTTTGTTCGCAGGCAGGATCACGATAGTTTCATCAATTGTTAAGGACATTCTTGCTTTCTTCTCTTGCTGTGATAACTTTGTTGCTTGTTCTGTATTAGGGTTGAAACGACAGCATGTCTTAATTGTGTTTTCGTCCCTTCGTCAAAGCCATTGGATTGCAAAACATGCTCGAATCCGGCAAAAAATTTCGTGGGGCTGGCGTCCCTAAAGTTATAGTTTAATCCTTTGATGAGCACTTGCGTTTCAGTATCACTGAGCATCCAGCTGGGCAGATCCCTGACCCAGCTATCAACGGCACTTTCGTATTTGTAGAAGGTTAATAGTGTCGACTTGTCTTCCAAAGCAGCCTCCTTCTTCACTCTAACCTCTGCTACTTTGCGATCTATTGGTACACATAGATATTGTCTTATGATTTGTAGACAGGCAGCTCTGTATTCGTTTAGACAATACTCATATTTCTTGATACGACTGTGAGGGTCCACAATCATCATTCGTAGCATGCGTTTCCAAATGGTTTTGCAATGGCCCATGCTTGCGGATGGTTAATTGGCACTTGGGAGAAAACGAAGGTCCTAGCGCAGAGTGAGTCAAGAAAAGGAAGAGAATTTCTCGAAGCACGCTTCGCTACGGAGAACTCAATAAACCTACGCATTGATTTAGGCCCGGTCTACCATCAACAGCGAAAAAAAATTTAAGGCGGGTCAATCACCACATGTGTCTAAAAGCGGCAATCGAACTGCGAACTAGCAACGGTCATGGGACGTGAAGCGAAGTGGCCTAGTTCAAACATCACTCTCTCGTCGGTTAAGGGTCAACAACCCAATCAGTTTGTGGACTACGCACTGACGAAGTCACCTCGATTGGTGATGAAACGTCTGCAAAGAAACAGTTCAGCTTGGAGAACAGACCTAAACCTGAATAGACAACGTGACCTACAGGTATTTCGCTTTATTGCTTAGCAAAAGGTAATATCATGTGCAGTATAGTATTCCGCATCACGTGTGAGGTGGTTGGAGGGGTAAGAGAAGCGGGAAGATGATGAAAAAATAAACTCACAACACGAACGCCACTGAGGTCAACACTTCGCTACGTCAACTAGTGTATCTAACCAAACGTGTTCATCGACTTCGCGACCTCCGCCAGGAAGTCTGTAGACACCAACTGAGGCCAAGTTCTAATTTCGGGATTTCATTCGTTTTCACCAAGTCATCGCTTGGCCTCTCCTCCTCTTGTTCTATCCAAACACCGGGCGCGCAAACAACACACGATGCGGGAGTCTTTGTGCTGGCGTGCGCAACACGTAGCCTAGCCATCAGGACCTGGTGCGTGACATAACGGTGCTCAACGTTCCACTTGCTCTTTCTGCAGTATACACGACGCCCAACACGTACACTGCTCCCGCGATGTCCTCACCAGGGATCAGCTAAGCTTTGAAGGCGGCGGTCATCGAACGTAACAAACCACTTTAGAGCTGTCGGTCCGACAGACGAGGTTACGCAACCGTATCGTGGGGTTGAACGCACAGCTGCACTGTAAACTCCGCTCTTTGGAGAGAGTGATGTCGCGCTGACGCCACAGTTCGCAGAGATTGGCAAAACTGTCTCAAGTTTTGGCTATACCTCGGGGGATCTCATCTTTTCCACCGACGCTAATACAGCGGGCAACGTACTTGAATTTCTAGACGACTTTTAGCCTATCACCACCGAGGGTCAGCGCAAAGGTACGCCCATGCCAATCTCGGAAGAGGACTTTGCATCTCAAGGGTGCAAAGAATAGCCCGGAACGACTGACAGCCAGAACTAATTTATCTAATGCTGTTTGACACGTTTGGGAGCTGTCACAGATTAGGGAAATGTCATCGGTGTACTCCAAGTCAAGAAGTTGGTCACCTGGGAGTTGCTCCACACCTTCTAAGTCGTGTCCTGTGAAAGCAATCTCCATGACCATCGATGGCGAATTTAAATAGGAAAGGTAACAGCAGACAACTTTGTATAACACCGTTAAAGATATTAGATGGCAGTGGCAGTGCCATAAATCCACACTCCGTCCGAACTTTGCGCGTACAGTGCTCGGATAATGTTTATGTGTTTCTCGGGCACCTTTTTCCTGAGCTGACAGTCGCAAAGGGTACATCGATCAACCGAATCGGAAGCACCTTTGATGTCAAG